GGGGGGGGAGGGGAGGGATGGAATTAGGCAATGCCGACGGGGTCCGGAGGGTGACTACGGCCGCTGCGCCCAAAGCAGGTTGAAAAAACGGAGGGGCCCTGGAGTCGAGACGAAAAGGGGGACAGGATGTTGTCTGTCGTCGTTGTCAGCTGCGACAAATCGTCATCAACGCCCATGCCCTGCGCCGTGAAACATGTCCACTCCACCTGCATATAAATGGCAGATGACCACCGCCATCCGCAAGGTTGGGCATCACATCGCCTCCGCAGGGTCGCATCGCCTCCGTCGTTTTGCCTTTGTCAGATCGTTGCGCCTCCCCTTCTCCACAGAATCGCCTTTGTCTCATCTTCAACATCGTCGTTGTTGGATCTTGTCGTGTCGCGTCCGCAGGATCACCTCCGCAGAATCAATAGGCCTCCGTAAGATCGCCTTCGTCTTGTCTTAATCATCGTCGTTTCCTATAGATGACCACCGTCGTCGTCGTAGTTTGTGTCCTCCCAGCGCCTTTCAAGTTATCGCTTCCACTCCATCCACCCACTTCATTTGTACTCATCATCGTCGTCTTGCACCTGTCGTCATGGCCATCGTCGTCGCGCACAAGTCATATCGCCATTGACATCCTCTGGCCACCATCGTTGTCGCCATCGCCATCGTGTGAGTAGACGTTGCCATCGCAGGATTGCGTTGCCCATGCAGGATCACCTCCGCCCCATCTTCATCATCGTCGTTGATGGATGTTACCGTCTCGCGTCTGCAAGGTTGCCTCCCATAGATGACCACCGCCCTCCTCGTCGATTGTGCCCACCCCAGCGCCTTTAAAACCATCGCTTCAGCTCCATTTGCAGTCATCACCGTCTTCTTGCATGCATCGTCGTCGACCACATTTGACATCGCCTTTGACATCCTCTAGCCATTGAAGGTGTTGCCATCACCATGGCCATGGAGTGCATAGACATTGTCATCGTGAATTTCGCCAAGGTCTTGTTGTGGTCGTCAACGACGTCACCATCGCAATCGCCTGTCACCTGCCACCATCGAATCCTGCACTCGTTGATCCATTTCGTCACGTAGTTTTGTCCGGGTCCCTCTTCTATCGCACGCAGAGGCTCGCCTTCCCTGCTACACTGCATTGCAGCGGCTGGCTGATTAGTTGTTGTCCAGTCAGGACATGTGGTGACGACGACTCAACATTGTCACAATCGTCTTTTCTCTTCATCGTCATGTCCTCGCGTGGCAGTGTCCATGGCAGAAAACGCGAAGGCCACCCGGGAGACACTCCCGTCTCGGAGAAGAGAGGTCGACATGTGTCCAAAGGGAAAAAGACACGTGTCGATGGCGTGTTGGGCACTGCACGAGCAGGAGTTGGCGATGGGTAGGTGTGGGGAATTGCACGACGGCCATCGTGCCACAGTGCAAGGTGGCAGCGCACTGTGAATCAACGAATTACTGCCCCGGCTGCCTCAACAAGGCCGTGTCCCGACACATCGTCCTTTGGAGGACGCTGTGATCGACATCGATGACGCGGGTGCTGCATGAATGGGCGAAGGACTAAATGCGGTGCCTTATGACTGTGGGGGAGGATTTGTGCCCAGACAACGTGCCCCGACTGCAGATATCCATCTGACTGCTCGGGGGTTGTCATTGTCGCGTCGACAACCAATTCCGAAAAGTAAGGCATCGGGGAGGCGGTTGTGATAGGTGTCGTCCTAGGCGGAGTTCGCTCTACTGGGGGGGAAGCGGTGGGCGCAGGTGGCACTGGGTTGTCAAAAGCGGCGGCTGGTGCGGCGCTTGGAGTAAACAAAGGTGATGCTGAAGAAGAGGAACCTTTGGCGAACAAGGTGCGGAGAGGTAATGCGCCAAACATTTTGACGGAGCAAACAAGGCTGTGGGTTGACGACTTCAGATTCTGGAATGAAACGGACGGTAATCCACTGAAGATCGCCAGCGGCACGTACAACTACCTATATCCATTGCAAGAGGAGTTACCTCTCGTCACCTCCCTCGCAGTGTCATCCTTCTGCATTTTAGTGTTGCGCAGAATGCAATAACGGACGAGTCACAGTTGTGCGAAGCTAAGGCAAGGGCTGGGAAAGTGCAAAGGGTTGTCCTGCGCATTATCCATGGGTGGATCTTCAAGTCGAGCAGACAGTCATGAGGTTACACACTGCATATGGGTACCGAGTTCGACACGTTGCCACAAAAATCGCATGGGTGATGTGGTTCACCAAAGAATGAAGTACCTGTGTGAGGCCCACTGTGTGCCACATCACACTTGAACTCGGCATGCAGCTCCCTCTATGGTTCTTTGGCGCGCACATTGAGGACAGGCCCGAAGACGGCGAGTTGACAACGTATCAAGAGGCGACGTAGCAACTTGTGGCAGCTTTCATGGGCGCGGCGACTGTGGCTGAGCTCCAAGACGGAGGCCGCGTCAGTGCCGTACCCCCGCTCACCGTTCACAAGGTTTGTGAACAAAACCTGGTCATGGAGTTCATGGAGTTCACGACGTAGGAGTTCATGGAGTCCAGGGAGAGTGGGATCGGTTTTTTTTTTTTTTTGGCTGGAGGGGGGGGTTGTTTTTTTTATAGGAGGGTGTGGGTTATCGGAGGGTAACTCCCCGTAATTTTTTTATTTTTATTTTTACGAATAATATTTTTTCTAATTAAAAACGAGAAAAAATATTTTTGTTTGTTATTTTGTAGGTTATTTCGATTTTTTTTTTTTTTCAATGTCATCACCCTGTGGGGCTTGAGGCGACTGTAGCTGGGTGCACCCCCCCCCCCCCCCCCCCCCCCCCCCCCAAAAAAAAAAAAAAAAAAAGACCCACTCTTCCTGGAGTCTTCCGCATCTGCCCGTTCACCGTGAACGATCGTTCACAGGCGCAGGGCCAAATGACCGGTCGTTCATGTTCAAGTGACCGGTGTCAATCATGTTCACAGTGACGGCACTGTCGCCGCATGTCACACGATAGGCTGAAGAATGTGGCCGAGAGTATGAAGGTTTTTGTGTCGGCTACCATGTGGTTGATGTGCATGTCGGCAAATGATCTACTATTACACTACGGGTCATCCTTTTTTGTCGAACTCACGGCGAAGCCAACTCAGCCACCATGCATCACGCACCTTCGATGCACGTCGACACATTACACAAGCTACAAACGTCGTGATGAAGAGGCTCGGCAAGCCCACCATGACTTCCACGGATTCCCCTCACAACATCCCCAATTGGGCATCATGCGGTGTCAAATTTGGCTACGAGTTCTACGACGAAGGTTTGCCATCGCCGATGATGCGAAAAGGTTGGATTGGTTGGGAACAAGCAACCCGAAAGACGATGATGATGGCCAGCAGCAGAATGTAGGAGGGGGCTAGGCGGTCGTGATTATGGACATTTGGAGGCTACGGAGGGTGGCAGTGTCGAGTAGACACTGGTGGCCGAAACGTTTTTTTTTTTTTTTTTTTTTTTTTTTTTTTTTTTTTTTTTTTTTTTTTTTTTTTTTTTTCGACCTGAAGAAGACGACGACTTCAGCGTCGTTGTTGACATACGTTGTCCTTCTCTCTCTGCAGTTTTTCATCGCAGACGTCTGAAAGATCTGGACGTCGTAGAGGGTAGGATGCGCAACATGCGACAATCATTTGAATAGACTCCGTCGTCACTTGGGGATGGTGTCGAAGTGTCGTAGTCCGCAAAGTTGGGAATCCTATAAATGCTCCCGCTAATTTTCATATTCGTATGCATTTGACCATGTTGTCATTGAGATTGAAACCCTGTCGGAGCTTGTTTACATTCTAAATTTTTTATTCGTTTTATTTGTCTCTTTTCTTGTTTTTCCTTCTCTTTTCTCTTCTTCTTCAACGATAAAGTTATTGCTTGTTTTCATTCTTTCACACAATGGCCGTCATGTATATCAAGGGAGATTATACGTGGAAGATCTCATGCATAAAATATGTATTCAATGTCCATGCCACTCGAAAGTTGCATGCATTTCGTGCATGACGACGGTGACACACACGCACCCCCACACACACATACAAACACGGTCATGTGATGGGCACACATCATGTTGTCCACCAACGACAATGCATAACGACTGTGACACAACGACCACACCATGCATGATGAGCAATAACAACATCACACATTTCATATTGCCATGTGCTATAAAAAAGGGCACGCAAAAGACAACGGCCACATCTTTGTCGCACACTGTGTGATTTGAACATGAGCATAACAATCACAACGCGTCTTGCAATAGAGGTTGAAGCAACAACGTTGGTTATCAACAAGCACACGCCGGTAGCCAAAATATTCATTTCCACGCGGGGACCAACCCCACCGCTATGGAGAACGCAGTCCTTTACAAACATAAGTTAACGGTGAGACAACTAATTACAAAAAAGACCAAGCAAGCCGCCAACGGAGGCAATAACAACGTGCAAACGAATCATAAAAACAAAACAAAAACAACGAAAATACATCCTACTCAACAATAGTACGATGAGGCATTCCAAAACATGAACGACAAACATAGCTCGCCCGCGTATGGCAAACGAACTCGTCAGCGTGATGCCCATGTGGGCAAATAGACGGCGCGACGCAGTCGCATCACCAACACAACAAACGGGTTGGAAAGTCTGCACTGGGGATTTGATCTTTCAACAATGTGAACGACGACACACGACTCCGCCCTTCCGTCAATCTAGTCTTGCACGCTCCCCCCCATCCGTGCACAACATCAAGGAGCATTATGAACCAGAGGAAGGACGCCACTACTCGAATGTCATCTGCTCTACCAATGCATCCCTCAGAATTATGAGCGTTTTGCTTGTGGAACAGTTACTCTCCACGCACACCAGTTGTAGGGGTCGTTGAATCCCAAGGTCCACCTGGCGGCACACTCCGTTGGCGTCCACCTCCCACAACAAATTCTTGTCAAATGGAATGCCTGCATCTTTTTTTTCTTTTCTTTCTAACAAAACAGTCCCTGCAGTGCTAGTGATGCTGTTATGAGCATACATTTCTAGCACCTGGGGAGAGGCTCCATCTATTGGTGGGGAGCGGCACCTGCTGGAGAACGCGTCCAGCGCCCTTAATGTGATACAAAGACGAGTAACAGGATGATGTCAGGAAGGCGCCTGCCAGCATTGATTGCTCTGGGGTCCAGAGGATTGACTGAGCAGGTGTGAGTATGACTCGACCAATGGGTCTGAAAAACAGGTGGGCCCAATCTTCTTTTTTAATGCCTGCATCAATGAGGGTGTTGTGGAGAATGCAAACGACAGGGAATTGCGGCAACGCCTCCATATTCGTCTTGTGCGTCCGCAAGAACAACCTCCACAATGTCATCCCCTTCATCTTGCTGAAATCCCTTTCCACAACTGCTCTCGTCACCTTCTGCTTGTTGCCAAAGCGCTCCTCCACAGTGTGCTGACTAATGCTTCCATACGGAACGACCATCCATTATGAAGGAGGATAGTCATTGGCACCCAGCAAGTACCCGTTCATTTGCACTTGGAAGGGGAGCATGACTGGCGGCTCCGAGAAAAGATCGCTAGGCTCCGCCCCCACCCACAAACTTGACAGCTGGATCACCCTGACATTGTGGCAACTTCCGGAGTACCCCTATGCGATTGTCCAGCATACACAAATTGAGATGAACGACAACCTGTGCGACAACCGAGAAACGCCCTTTACGATCGTAATAGTCCTCGCTGGGGCATTCGCCAGCTATTCGATGTAGATGTGAGTACAGTCGATGCAACCGCGGCAGTTCGGGAAACCTTTGTCAGTGAATGCTCGAAGGATGACCAACTTGAGCACCCCTGTCAACCATCATATCTTCTCCAAGTATAGCGTCTGCAGCACCGCTGTTACGCCGCGTACCGCCACCAGCCCTGAAGGTCTCCCGATCCCGAAGTTGCATGTGCTACTGTCGTACGTCTCCCCTAATGCCCACCTGTATAATGCATAAGCGATGATGTGATCAGGCTGTTGCGGCTCCCTGCAGAATGTCACGCGCCTCTATGCCTCTATGGATGAGGCGACAAAGCTGCAGCGATCCACTGAAACACAGGTGGCGACATACGAAGCTTCTCCCAGAAGTACTCCTCTGTCGCGTCGTCGCATTGCCCGAGATCCTCCCATGACCCCCCGGCCTCCTTTTCATCCACCACCTCGGCGCCACTCGTGGCACAAGTGGTTAACGGGGACCCCCACTTTTCGGCCCTGGGTAATGATGAATGATCCTGAAATTAGGGTTTCTATAGATTGGTGTGAAGTTTGCTTGGGATGGCCTTATGGTTTTCTTATAAATTGAGGTGAAAAATGGGGGGTCGGTTAACCTTTTCTCACTCGTGGAAGAACACTGCAACCCCTGGCGCAGCAAACCTGGACTATAGCCTCAGTAATGGCCCCAGTATCCAGCCCTTCGACCGGGAGTTGATGAGCCGTCGTCCTCCTCCACGTTCGGATCTGCACTCTCATTCTGCCCAATTCCCTCTCCTGCTGACAACGAAAGAGCATGGCCGTCACGGCCGCCGCAATGGCCGTCTCCTCGATCGTCATCAACTTCGCACGTGCATCGCCGCCGCCGACCTCCATCGCCACGCGTGCTGCCATACTACTCAAGACAGCACGTCAGATCGTGGCAGACTACGAATGGAGACTGAAGGGGAAGGCACCTGCGTAGAAGCATCTCAACGGACTTTTGAAGCTAAAGGGGATGGAATGCGAGGAAAGAGCCTCACAGAGCCCTTATCAGACATGCAAGTGTTCTGGACAGTGGCCCCCAGCAAGCCCCGTGCCCGCCCTAAGTGAAGGCGGGCTTGAATATCCACGTGAGGCCTGTTCCCTACAATTTGCCATATTCGGGTACTCAGACAGTTGCAGCACGCCAGTTGGTTACAGAGCAACGTGAGCCTCCCGGTTCTTTCCAGAAGCGAAGAGGCTGCACTGTACAATTGAGCCCAGGGCTCAGGCGGATGCGCACTGGGCACACGCCATGCGAGGCCGACACATCTCGGATTGGTTACGGGCCAATGAGCAAGCAGCATTGTCGTTACACATGTGCCGCGAGCCAATGAGAATGCGGCCAACACTTCCAGCCTGGACGGCTACCTGTCGGTGCCCAACCAAAAAGGGCCCAGGCCCTTAACTGTAGAAGTGGGCCTGGGCGCAGGCACTGGGGGCCGACTGCAAGCTACTGGAAACTTCCCCAGCCAGGCCCACGCAGACACAGCAAGGGCTGTGCTTTCCATAAAGGAAAGAGGTCAGCCCAGGGGAGGGCATCCTGGCCTAGGCAGGCAATGCGGACACACTGCTGCGTTGGTGCGCAAGCGTCTGCATGGACGCCGCTGGTCGGACGTGTGCACGGGCGCAGTGGTGAGAGGGGCGCTGCTGAGGCAGCGGGCGCACAGCAGCCATAGCCCGACAGCTGGGGTGCAGGGCAGGTGATGGCAATGGTGGTCTTCGGGTAGGAGACGCATGAAGAGGGGATCCAATAGATGATGAGGGGAGAAGAGAGAACTTACCTGGTGTATGCCGGTGGTTGGCATTGGTGTTGATGTCATGTACATTGGTCTTCGACTTCAGAGTGATCCACTTGCAAGAATGTAGATAGGCTAGATAGGCTGAGCAGGATAGGCTGGGCGCTGAGCCCAAACACTAAGTGCGACATTGGATACTGTGTCGGTGTGACCAGAGTGTGGCGACATTGACACCTGAGTTCATTGTATTGCTCTTATTTGGACGGTATCTTGGTGCATTGCACTCTCTGCTTGGTTCATGACTCTCTGGGCTACTTGAACTCGTGATTTTGCAACTTGGATTTCTATTTATCGCTCTCCCTAATATTCCTTGCACTTGCTTATTATTCAACATATTAACTACTTATAATTGTAAGGGATCCACGCACCCGCATGTACAGCACAGGCAGAGTTCACACTTCGGGGGTTTCTCTGCACTCCTTCAGGCAAAATTGTTAATTCATGAATGTGCAGCCCCCTTTCGMYCCCCCCCCCCCCCCCCCCTTCTATGCCATATGAGGTGCCCACCCACTTTGCAGACTATGTGATGACTCCATCCCTATTCCAGAAGTCAGAATGGACCCACTCAGGCGTCTCAGTTTCCTGCTTTTTTTATGTGTGTCATCCTTGCACAGGGACCATTTGCAAATTTACCATTCTCTCTCTCTCTGTATCGTTACAGTTGTAACGGATGTCCCTAAGGACTCCTGTTTTTTTTTAACTGAACCTCATCAGCCCTGATTTGGAAAACCTCAGCTTTGACAAAGGGAGCTCTGAAGGTGCTTCAAGTTGGGAGATGGTGACACTGTGAGCTGGAAGAGGATAAGGAAAAGAGGAGAGAGGACGAGGCCAAGCAGGAGGAGGAGGAGGTGGGAGGAAGAGGCGGAGGAGAAGACGAAGAAGAAGGAGATGAGGAGGAGGAGGAGGAGGAGGAGGAGGAGGAGAGCGAAGAAGGAAAAGGAGGAGGAGGAGGATAAGGAGGAGGAGGAGAAGAAGAAGAAAGAGGAGGAGGAGGATAAGGAGGAGGAAGAGAAGGAGAAGGAGGAGGAGGAGGAGGAGGAGGAGGACAGCAAAGAAGAAAAAGGACGAGGAGGAGGAGGACAGCAAAGAAGGAAAAGGACGAGGAGGAGGAGAAGAAGAAAAGGGGGAGGGGGAGGAGGAGGAGGAGGAGGAGCACGGGGAGAAGGAAAAGTTTGATTCTGAGGGTTCGCCTGACCCTCTCAAAAGTCGGATGCATCTGGATTGGATGCAGTCCAAAAGACGTCGGACACTCAGAAGAGATTTTTGGGCACTTTTTGGCCTTTTCAACCAAGGCCAATTTCGTGCAATGAAAAAACAAAAACTCCGTTTTAATGAAATGGCAGCTATTCGTAATTAGAACAAGAAGAAGAAGAGGAAGAAGAAAAAGAAGAAGAACTTCAAGGGGAAGATGACAAGGAGGAGGTGGAGGGGAAGAACAACCACGAAGGTATTCGCAAGGTTGGTAGGCCTATTGAAAGGAAAGCACCCCAGTCTTCTGGATCCCACATCAAGTGACCCTCCAAGGCATCATCGTCAGCGTCAGAGTCAGCACCGGAATCATCTTGAGTGCCGCCTAGCTGTTGTGTCTCTTGGTCTTCATCGCCATCCTGATACGAACTCAGCACATTGCCTGCAATCGTGGACAGGCGACTAAAAACCGGTCCTCTTGTCTCCCACTCCCTGCAAATGTGAGTCGGTGCCAAGTAGGTAGGAGAAGTTTCTTCAGAGCCGTTACATTGAGCGCTTTGCACTGGAGCATCCTTGGATTCTTGGGCAAGAGAACCTATGCTTCTAGTACCTTTGCATCTCATATGACTCTGTGTAAAATGCTCCTGCTGATGTCCATCTCTAGAAGCACAAGTTCTCATGGCTTGAAACTTGGCGACACCATCGTGACGTGGGTGATGTCCGTCTTCAAACTCTCCGTAACACTTTCTGGTGTGCAATGTCTGATCCATTCCCGTTGAGAATGCGTTTGCTCCCAAGTTCCCTCCACGAGAGCCATTACGAGTCTCAAATTCTGAGGGCAAAGGAGCGTTCTCTACTGCTGGCCTTGCTTCAATCATTTCCAGCATCGCAAGTCGTAGGGAGGAAGAAGTGTCATGACCTTCTGCCATTGCTCTATAAAATGAGCCCATGAGTGAAAATGATGCCTGATCGTCAACTTGCCAGATGGACGACACCAGACAAGGAACTTGGGAGATCAAGAAGGCTCTAGCGTAACTGAGGACACCGTCAGGTCGGTTTTCACCCTGCGCCGAGCTGCAGCAGCTAAGAACCACCAGAAGTGACCGCACGTCGAATTCCAGAAAGTTCATGATCTCTTCAGCCTTGAGCACTCCCGAGTGTACGTCATCAGATTCAGACGCGGCTTTCACGTTAGACCCCACAGCATTCACTGTACTCGAGCCGGACAATCCTTCTTCAGAACCAAATGGTGGCTCCCATCGTGTGGCGCTTCGCTCAAAGCTCTTACATAGCTTCAAAATCTGCTCTGATTTCGAAAACTCAGAACGCGTGAAATGCGTCAATGTACTTTTCACCTGCTTGTCAAATTCATCCAATCCTTCACCAGTTACTGGACCAGGTTCATTTGGAGAAGCACTCCCTGAAGCCTTTGTCCTTTTTTTAGCACTCCCTGAAGCCGTCTGATGCGGATTGATAGTTCCAATTCCCATCCCTGTCTTCACCCTTGAAACGTCTTTCTTCTCGTGTAGGACACCTGGCAGCACAAAAGACCCAGACACTGCGGGAGTATCCGCTCGCTCACTGCACGCAGATGGAGGGCCCAGATCGCCCGTTGCTTCCGTATCTGTTATGGGCATCTCCATCATCTCCATCGCGGGTACGGGTTTAGGACACTCAGTCTGTGCATCTAAGCCCTGTTTCGGCACATCGTTCTGAAGTTGAGCCTCCGAGGTCGGCAAAACAATGCACACGAATGTCTGCTCTCCTGACGCAGCAGCTTGAGCACCACAATCTTCAGCTGTGTCATCACTACTCATAATGACTAGTATTTTTGCACCTGACTGCAGCAAAGATCCATGTACTGGCTCATCAGATTGAGAGGAAACCAGATCGCATGTTGCTTCAGCATTTGTTATGGGCAATGCCATCTCCATGAGCGGTACGTCTTTGGAGTGCTCGGTCTGCGGATCTGAGTCCTGCTTGAGAGTTTCTTTCTCAACAAGTGGGTCTTCTGAAATTGTCGACACGATGCACCATGGTGTCCGGTCTGCTGACCTGACAGCTTGATCACCAGAATCACCTGCTTCTGTGTGAGCAGTATTCTTTACGTCTGGTACGTTTGCGTCTGACAGCACCAAAATTCCATGTACTGCTCGATTACCTGCTGGCTCATCAGATTGAGGACCTCGATCACCTGTTGCTTCAGCGTCTGTTATGCACATCTGCACGAATCGTAGATCTTCAGAAAACTCAGTCGGTGTATCCAAGTTCAGACTGTTCAAGTTGGGAGTGCCTTTCTTATCTAGTCCTACTTCTGAGACCGCCGAATCGGATTTGCAAGCAATGCACATTGCTGTCTGCTCTGCTCGCCCAGCATCCTGAGAGCCAAAATCCTCAGCTGTGTCAGCAGTATTCATGATGGTTGGTATGGCACTGTTTGCTTCTGAAAGCACCAACGATCCATGCACTGCCGGACTGTCGGCTACATCATCAGATCGAGTACCCATATCGCATGTCTCTTCAGCGTCTGTTACAGACCTCTCCATGAGTGGTATATTTTTGAAAGACTCGGTCTGCGCATTCACGTCCAGGTCGCTAGCTTGAATGTCTTTCTTGACCATTCGGACTTCTGAGATTGCCGATTCGGCAGCAATGCACATTGCCGTCTGATCCGCTGGCGCAGTGGTTTGAGCGCCAGAATCGCCAGAAGCTGTTTCAGCAATACTCGTGATGGTTGGTATGTTTGCATCTGACCGCATCCAAGGCCCATGTACTGCTGGATCATCAGATTGGCCACCCAGATCGCCTGTTGCTTCAGCATCTGTTACGGGCATCTCCATGCGTGGTACGCCCTCACAAGACTCAGTCTGCGGTTCCGAGTCCAGGTTGGGGACTCGGATGTCTTTCTCAACGACTTGGACTCCCAAGATCGTCGATTCAGAAGGAATGCACGTTGATGTCTGACTTGCCGTCCCGGTGGGTGGAGTGTCAGAAGCATCCGATGTCTCCGCCATGGTATCCGTTGTGTTCACATGGGGTTCTTCCGTAAGAATCAGAGCCCCCATACTGAAGTCGTGGTCGATTTGGTACTTCTGTAAGTCCTCCCTAGACCCGACCAACATATGAGCTGCGAAATGGGCAATTGGCGCACCAGCCTGAAGTGCCTTGAGTACTTCCACCTTTGTTGCATTTGCTCCTGTAAGAAGTGTTGCACTGCCAGGAACCAAAAGTTCATGGATCACTTTGGCTTCTTCTGCAGCGTAATGAAGTGGTTGCAAACTGAAGGGTGTGGGTGAAGGATCACCTACGACAAGCGACTTCCAGAGTGATTCGGTTGTCGTACTTGCTGTGGACGGAGCTCTTGCCGATGGCTGCTCCATCATCTTCAACAGGTCCTCACTCCTCTCCTTGAATGTGGGAATAAGATGTGGTCCTGGGACTACAGCAACTGTGTGCCGCTGAATCAGATAAGGTTTTTCTGAGAATCGCCTTTTCCTGTCGCGCAGCGCCGCAAATGGCACGTTCCATAGAATCTGCAACATTTTCAAATTTTGACGGGATTTTAAGAAAAAAACAAAGAAACAAGTCCGGCAGTGTCACACTTTCCATTTCGAAAGGGCAAAAAAAAACATGTGCGGGCAACAACATCGGGTGCAGATATTGCCTTAGGGCGATATCGGCAAAAATGGCTGTGGCCCACGTGTGATTTTGTTCCCCTTTCAAACTTGGCGCGCAAGTTTGTTGCCCTTTTCAAACTCGGTGCGCGGGTAAAAATGATTTTGTTTCCCTTTCAAACTTGTGCAAGGAATACGAGTGAGAGCGATAGACAGAAATCCAAATTGCAAAATGATTATCATGAAGTAGCCCAGATTGTCATGTACCAATCAGGGAGCGCAATGCACCAAGATTCCATCCAAATAAGAGCAATACAATGAACTCAAATGACAATGCCGGCGCTCTCTGGGCACACCAACATAGTATCCAATGTCACTCCTATTGTCTGGCTCCCAGTGCCCAGCCTACACTACTCAGGCTATCTACCCGATCTACGTTGATGCAACAGGAACACATCGACGTTGAAAACCAATGTATGTGATGTCAATCGCCAATGCAGACCGCCAGCATACACCAGGTATGTGCCTCACTCCTACCCTCATCACCCCTATCTCCCCACTACATGTGCCTTCTACCCGAAGATCACCATCGCCATCACCGCGCCCTCGCCCAGCAGCCTGGGTATGGCCACCGTGCACCCGCTGCATCAGCAGCGCCCCTCTCTCACCTCTGCGCCCGTGCACGCGTTTGGCCCGCAGCGCTAGCGCAGCTGCTCGTGCAGGAACGTTGTGACGAGGCGGAGGTAGAGCCGCGAGGTCAGGGAAGAGAGAGGGAGGGAATGAGAGCACACACACACAATCACTCAACTGGACACAGACTCGATACGACTCGACGGACGCAGACACAAGGTGGCAAAGTCGCCAAGTCGCAAAGTCGCAATCTTGGTTCCTTACACAATGTCGCAGCAAGTCACACTGAAGCACAAGCACTGAGGCCGAAAACTGAATCCCCGAACTCAGCTTGAGTCCGGTCTTAAGTATCGGACTCAAGTTGAGTCCGAGGGCAAAAGTGCAATTTGCCTCGGGGCTGCACTGAAAATCGAAGGTCTGAGCCTGAGCGCCAGAATGCCGGATGGCGCCAAGTATTGAAATCCGAAAGTGCCAGAGGAGGGATTTGAGAATGGGCGCCAACTGCAGAGGGCGCCAACAGTCAAGAGCCAGAGATCAGAGACTCAAAAATACAGCCTGGCGGGTGGTAACCCGCGGACCAGGGATCGAGCCCTGGCTGAGTCCATAATGCTATCCCCTCCCTCTGGAAGGCAAAATCCCGGCTGCCAAAGACCCAATGAACATCTGTGAAGGACAGGACCGGGCCGATCACTGGTCAGAAAAGGAAAAGGGGAGTAATGCAAGAAGCAGGGCAATCCCATTGAGGTTCTTCAGGGATGAGGGAATCAATACTCAAGTATGAGGGTAATACTATTGAGGTTCTACAGGGATGAGGGAATCAATGCTCAATTAACAGGGTAATCCTATTGAGGGTCTACAAGGGTGAGAGTAGCAATGTTCAGGTAACATGGTAATCCTATTGAGGTTCTACAAGTACTACTGGTGTTCTACAAGGTTATAGGTTGTCAGGTTTGAGAGAAAAAAAAATAATAATAATAAATAATAATAATAATAAATAAT